GGAGCAACTAAGCCCGTGCACCACAACTACTGAGCCCTCGTGCTGCAACTACTGAAGCCCGCGCTCCTAGAGCCCATGCTCTGCAACAAGAGAAGCCACCACAATGAGAAGCCCATGCACCACAATGAAGACCCAATGCAGCAAAATAAATAAATAAAATAAATAAATTTATATATATATAAAAATACCCTACTAGCATAGAGGAAATGCTGGAGAAATGTCAGAATGCTTAAGCCTTTCCCCAGAAGCCTGGTGGACCAAAAGCTGGTTCACAATGCCTGAAATTCTACCAGTGAACTTTTTGTTGTTGTTGTTTTTGGCCGGGCCTCATGGCTTGTGGGATCTTAGTTCCCCCACCAGGGATTGAATCCGGGCCCATAGCAGTGAAAGCGCTGAGTCCTAACCACTGGACTGCCAGGGAATTCCCCTACCAGTGAACTTTTATTCTTCCACTGTAAGAGCTTTCTTTCTCTTAAAATGCAAATCGTGGCAGAAGGAATATTGCTGGAAGACTTATCTGTTTTTTAATGATGGAATGATTTGATTAGATTTTTTTCCTGAGAACACACAGTGAGAGTTGGAAGACATTGTGTAGCCGACAGGTGTCCAGGAGGTGCCAGAAATGGGACACCCACGAGCACAGAGGGATGCCTCCAGATGGCAAGAATAAACCTCGCCAGCTGCAGGTCTGATGGGAGACTGAGTTCTACAGGCCTGACCCCGGCCCTAAGCCAGGAAATGTGTAGGAAGACCTTGCCTGACCAGACTCCTTTGATTTCCCCACCTGTCCTGGCTCTACATGAGGCTCATTTAGCCCCTCCAGGTGGAGTGGAGAATGGGGGCAACTCTTCAACTACCCCTTCGACAGAAGTATTGATAATGATTATATGGAAATTTGCAGTGAAAACTCCCACTCAAATGTTTGTTTGTCAATGAAATATCTGCCATATGGCAAGAGAGGAAGAAGTTCCTCTCCAATGACCCACCGCTCTTGGCAAATAAACCACTGAAACAATTTATCAGAGTAAACTCAACCAGAAGGACTCATTCATTCTGAAATGTACACTGAATGTAGCCATTCTGCAGACCATTAACTCTGCTAATTACAACAGTGATTCAAGAGATAAACCTTCACTAACTTTTTTTTTTTTTTTTTTTTTTTTTTTTGCTGTACGTGGGCCTCTCGCTCTGTGGCCTCTCCCATTGCGGAGCACAGGCTCCGGATGCGCAGGCCCAGCGGCCATGGCTCACGGGCCCAGCCGCTCCGCGGCATGTGGGATTTTCCCGGACCGGGGCACAAACCCATGTTCCTTGCATCGGCAGGCGGACTCTCAACCACTGCGCCACCAGGGAAGTCCCCTTCACTAACTTTTTATGAGGCTCTGAGGCTCCTTGCAGCGTGACAGGCATCTCCCTCCCTCCCCCTGATTCTACCACCAAGCAGAGGGAAAAAGGGGAAAAAAAAACCCTAATATTTACTGAACACTTGCTATACGCCCAGCATTTTCCTATGGGATAGCTCCATGATCCCTTTGGGGTAGGGATTATTTTTACAGGTTAGCAAACTGAGGTTCAGAGAAGATCACGGTGTTCAAGGTCAAACTGCAAATAAAGAGCAGAGCTGGGACTGAGGATCTCCTGGCTTCAAGCTCAGCATGCTCCCTCCTGCTCTTCTCCGGAAGCTTCCTCTCACCAAGTAATTTAGAAAAAATAACAAGAACATCAAACAGATAAAGAACTCAGTGCTTTCTTTCTTAGCTGTCTGGTCCCTAGAGTTCTTCCCAGCACATTGAATGTGGATTCTTAACACATTTCATATTTACCGGGATGAAACTCCTAGAGAACAGAGACTGGTGTGATCTTTCCTGGAGTCCCTACAGCATCAAGCAAAGGTCTGGCAGAGCCGTTACATGGATGGGCTTTGGCACCCAGACTGCGTGTATCGGTGTACATCGAGGCTCTGCCACTCACTAGCTGTTTGACTCTGTGCACAATCGAAGGACTGTGCCTCAATTTCCTTATCTGTGAAATGGAGAAGGTGATCAGAATAGTACCTACTTCATAGTGGCATTAAGCAGAATAAATGAGTTAATACTTGCAAGAGACTTAAAATGGTGTTTGACACGCGTAATCACTTAGTAAGTGTTAGCTCTTTGTGTGTCCAGGGGCTTCAAGTCCCCAGAGCTTTTTTAAAAAGTTTTAAAAATAAATTCATTTATTTATTATTTATTTTTGGCTGTGTTGGGTCTTCGTTGCTACACGCCGGCTTTCTCTAGTTGTGGCGAGCGGGGGCTACTCTTCGTTGCAGTGTGCAGCTTCTCATTGCTGTGGCTTCTCTTGCTGCGGAGCACGGGCTCTAGGCACTCAGGCTTCAGTAGTTGTGGCACTCGGGCTCAGTAGTTGTGGCTCAAGGGCTCTAGAGCTCAGGCTCAGTAGTTGTGGCACACGGGCCTAGTTGCTCCGTGGCATGTGGGATCTTCCCAGACCAGGGCTCAAACCCATGTCCCCTGCATTGGCAGGCGGATTCTTAACCACTGCACCACCAGGGAAGTCCCAGTCCCCAGAGCTTTAATTTTCTCCAACTGAGTTCTTTCAGGCGCCGATGACTTTAGATTTAACTAATCCCTCTGGTCCCTCATAAAATATAATTTCATAGTGTGCCATCGCTTCCGAGCAGTTTTTACCCATGATTCCAGATGTAACTATATGAGTTGGTGCTCCATAAATATCTGATGATTGGATGAAAGCAGAAGTTATAGAGACCGAGTTACAGGCAGCAGCAAAATCTTGCCCAAGGTCACCTGGGGAGATGGCAGTACAGCCCAGACTTTCTGACAAAGAATTAGTGTTCTTGCCCCTACCCTCCCTCCCTACCACAAAGGTTCTGTCCCCTGACCGTTCTGCTCAGGGGTCTCCATCCCCCACCCACCTGCGCTGGTTTCTCCTCTTGCCTGAGCTGTCTCTAATTTCAGTAAGCTTGAAATTCACTGGTCATACAGAAAGCATTTTATCTGCCCTTGCACATGCAAATTCTTTCCATTGGGATTTCTTAGTGTCTGGCTCCACCCCAGCCCACACGGCCATAAACACTCATGTGTCTACAGCCCGGCCCCAGGGATTCCAGAAATAACAGCAGGGACCTCCATTAGAACGCTGGAACATAGTAAGGCATTTCTGCATTAAGACACAAGCCCTTTCCAGCCCAGGCCTCTCCTGTCCGTCAAAGCACAAAGCAACCTTTACAAGTCAGGATAGGGAGGGGCAGCTGGGAGGGAGTGTAGATTTCTGGAAAGTCCGCACCTTCTCCTGCCGTCTCTCTGCTCTCAGATCTTCCATTCTAGAGAGTCTCCAGATCTGCTCCAGGCTCCACTTAGAATCTGAAATTGTTTCTTGGCTGTGGCGTTCTTTGCCTTCAACGATCTATTCTCCCTTGAACTTGCCGGAACTGGAATCACGGCAGAGTGAGCCCATATGGCACAAAGGCCACTTTCCAGACACCCAAGACAGCCACCTGATTTGGAGTCAGGCACTGGGGAAGTGCCAGGAAAGAAGGGAGTGGCTGGAGGGGAGTGCCCAGTTTAAGGAGAGAGGAAAAGTCTAGCCATGACCCTCAATAAAAGGCATCTAGGGCGATCATTCCCGTTTCAGAAGGATGTTCATGAGTAGAAAGTCAGAAGTCAACATCTAGGGAGAGAAGTTTAGCTTTTCAAGTGTCCTCTCAAAAATAATGCCAGAAGAGACTTCCCCGGTGGTGCAGTGGTTAAGAATCCGCCTGTCAATGCAGGGGACACGGTTTGGAGCCCTGGTCCGGGAAGATCCCACATGCCACGGAGCAACTAGGCCCGTGCGCCACAACTACTGAGCCTGCGCTCTAGAGTCTGTGAGCCACAACTACTGAGTCCGTGTGCCACAACTACTGAAGTCCACGAGCCTAGAGCCCGTGCTCTGCCACAAGAGAAGCCACCGCAATGAGAAGCCCGCACACTGCAATGAAGAATAGCCCCCGCTCGCCGTAACTAGAGGAAGCCTGTGCGCAGCAACGAAGACCCAACGCAGACAAAAATAAATAAATTTATTAAAAAATAATAATACCAGAAGATAAAAATAGCGTGTACGCATAAGACGACAATGATGTAAAAAATACGTATTTAGATGCATGACCTAGAAAGGCTGGAAAGAAATATAAAAACAGTTGCTTTTTCGGGGGGCGGGGGGAGGATTAAATGGGTGTTTTTCTCGAAATTATCCTTAAGGTCATTTCCCATTTTAAAGAAAATCATAATATCTGGCATTGCCAGAGACACCTGCCTGGACTTTTTTGGGTATTTTCCAAGGGAATTTCAGGTTTTAGGTGCCCGTCTGAAACCGAATTTATCTTGTAAAATGCATGCTTATGCCACTTTCTCCAGCAACTAATTCCTCTTTAATGGGGATGGGATTATTTCTAATTCGCGGTCCCCATCGCAACGTCATTAAAGGCTGAGTTCAGTGTATTGAGCTCCAAACCTTTGTCACTTATAGGAAGGTGGAGGAAAGGCAGGCGCTTGTGCAACAAAACAGCCGATGGTGTCACCCTCCCAGGCCGGACCTTACCAGAGCCGAGAGCCGCAGCTGCATTAGCCCACAAGATGTTATGCACCATCTGCAACGGTGCTGCAGCAGGAGACCCGGCCACCGCAGGGGAGGTCATGCGAGCCTCCTGCTCCCGTGCCGCGCCCACGAGTGCCGGGGGTGGCGGGGAGGTTGAGGGGAGTCGGTAACAGCATCGCCATGGCAACAGTGACGTCCTTGTACCCTGGATCTAATTGGAGGAAACCCCGTGGCCGAAGCCGCAGCCTGCCGGCCAACCGAACTTGCCCAAGCCGACCCACCCTCCTAGCCTCCGCTTCCTCTCCCGCCCCGCCTTCTTCGCCCCCTTCCGCGCGCTCAGTCCTCATTGGCTAGGGGCGGGGAGGAAGGCGGGACTCTAGGGGACAGCTCAGCGCGCCATTGGGCGGGGGGAGCGAGGGCCGCCGCGCTGCGGCCCGCCTCCCGGCTCGGAGGTAGGCTGAGACGGGAGGGTCCTCGGCTAAAGCCAAAGGCGGATCAAAGTGGTGGGAGTCGCGCCGCGGCCGCGGAGACGTGAAGGTGAGCGCCAGGGTCGCCCCCGGCCCTCCTCGGGTCGGGCCGGGCCCGAGAGTCCGGCGGGAGGCCAGCCCCGGGGAGCGGCTGGCCTCGACGCCGCTCTCCTCAGGGACGGCTCCGGCGGGAAGGAAGGTGCGGGCCAACGGCCGCTTCCATCTTGGGCCGGGCGGGCGCGGGAGCGGCCCTTCCTCCTCCTCCCCTTACTCCTCCTCCTCCTCCCCCCGCCGCGGGCCGCCTCGGCTGGCGCCCCCGGGCCTCCCGGGCACCCCGCGGGGAGCGTGGGCGGGGGAGGGAAATTCAACGGGGCCGCGCGTGCGGACACAGACAAAGGGGGCGGCGGGCGGGCGGGCTGCCGGGGCGGCGGGTGCATTGTCTGACGGCGCCGCCCCCGCCTTCTGCCCGCGACCCCGCCCCGCCCGCCCGCCCGCAGGCCCTCCGCACTCCTCCTCGGCATCCGGGTCGGTGCTCGCCCTCGCTGTCCTGTCCCCGGCCCCATGGAGAAGACGGAGCTGATCCAGAAGGCCAAGCTGGCCGAGCAGGCCGAGCGCTACGACGACATGGCCACCTGCATGAAGGCCGTGACGGAGCAGGGCGCCGAGCTGTCCAACGAGGAGCGCAACCTGCTCTCGGTGGCCTACAAGAACGTGGTCGGAGGCCGCAGGTCCGCCTGGAGGGTCATCTCGAGCATCGAGCAGAAGACCGACACCTCCGACAAGAAGCTGCAGCTGATTAAGGACTATCGGGAGAAAGTGGAGTCTGAACTGCGGTCCATCTGCACCACGGTCCTGGTGAGTCCGCGACCGTCCGGGCGGCGGGCGCCGAGGCGCCTTTGTGTGAGGCTTTCCGTGGGGAGTTTCCCGGGAACGGGAACGGGAACGAAGTGGGGGCCGGGGCCTGCCTGACGCCCTGCCGACGCGTAGAGGGCTTGAGGAGGTTAGCCTTGCCCTCCTTAACGCGTTATTTCAGTTCTTGAGATGAAGAAGCTGCTTTTTCTTTTTTTTTTTCTCCTTTCTTTTTTTTTTTTCCTGTGGTAAGTATATCTTTCCTAGGTGCTGCGTTGCTCCTCCACCAGATAAGTTTAAACATGAGAGTAGGTTTGTAGAAGGCTGAAAATCGTTTTCCAGCGTCCTGAGGCGATCTGGGAACCCTTTAAACGTATTGAATCAGTTCGTAGGCTTCAGGCTTCCGTTGAAAGAAGGGGCGGGCGCCTTTTCCATAAAGATCACGTATGTAAGTCGGTTTTCCTCCCAAATCCAGCAATGGAAATCTACTTCGAAAATCTGAATAGGTATCTCGTTTTTCAAGTAAGAGTATCTGTTGATTTTTTTCCTTGTTAAAAGCGGGGAAGGGGGAGAGTTTGGTAAATGTGAAAAAGGCACAGCTAAATCAAAGGAATAAAATGTCCTGGGAAATTTCGGTGCTTGATACCATTTCTTCGCTGTTACATAGCTACACGTGAACCCCGAGGTGTTGAAATGAATTCGTATCTGGTGTGGAGTAAGCGAGGAAAGCTTTCCAGGTTTTGAACTGTCCAGTCTTAGCTAGGGTGGCTTTGGGTGGAGTAGGGTGACTGCTGTATCCACGCTTATTGGTGAGAGAGAGCATTTTTAGCTTTGTCATCGTATGGATTTTTTGATCAGTAAGATAAGTTTTTAAAATGTCGATACCAGCATTATATCCTGAGGTGTTTTGAAGTGTTTTAATACTGCAAAGAGTCATTTCTACTAATAAAATATGAAATAGCCGATGCGGTTGCCTCTTTTAAGTGCCACTTTTCCAAGGGGCCTACTGATTTTTGATGTGTTTGTTCCACGTTGTGTTTTAGGTGGGCTTTGAAAGACAAACATGCTAGGTTGGTGATTTTTCAAGAGGGAATAGAGGAGGAAATGCCTCTTGCTCTCCCAGCCTTTTCTTCCTTGCCCCTGAGATTCGTGGGGCAGGAAAGTTTTTTCCTTTCACCTATTTTTCCAGTACAAATAACAAGTGATCTGAACGAAATCATGGCTGATGGAGATAACTGGTAAAGGGGCGAAGGAAGCAGTGCAGAGCAGGTGTACGAGGTGGAGAAAACTTTGAGATTATTTGCTTTATGTAGGCGAGATTTTATGTTCATCCATGTCTTAGGTTCCACTCCCTGCCTAGCATAGAGGAGACACTTAGGCTTTTTGAACTGAATTGCTTGTATTCAAAAAATTTGCCAACTTGAAAGTGATGGTAGACTTCAGTGGCATATGGTAATGGTTATTGACAACATCCACTCTGTCATCGAGGAAGACTATAAGAACTCCATATGTTAAGGAGAAGCTCTTCTATACATGTTTTACTTTGGGACACTCTCACAGCATATTTCAATCTCTTTGTTCTATTATTGTTTTGCAATTTGTTACTTACCCTGCAGCAATTCAGAATTACCACAGAATTTTTCCTGTTCTCTAGCAAGTTAGCTGGGAATATTTGTTTTATTTTGTGGCTCTTATAAATTTTAGTTTCTCTAATGGCATAAGTAGAGGAGACTTTGCTTAGTTGATAAGTGACTTGAAATAGAGACCAAATAGATCATTTCAGTAGGAGAGAACCCCTGAAATTGGGACAGGTTTTGTTTGTTTGTTCGTTCTGTTTTCTTCATATATACTAAGTGAAATAGAAGAGTTGATTCATCAGACACCAAGGAATAAATAAAATATTTTTATTAATGAAATGGCTTAAAAGACTAATGGTGACTTAACGGCCAACCTCCGAAAAAAGTCCTGAGGAAAGCCCATTGTCAAGTTGGCCGCTGTATTTGAGAGCATGTGCAAGGCACTGTGCTAAAGCAGCATGGGGAAGAGCAATGCTGAAAATGGTAGATTTTGTCCTCCAGTAATTTATAATAAGGAGTGCATATGAGAAATACCTAAATGTAAATAATATATAATTCCCGTAAGATGGTTATGAATAAAATGCTATGTAGTTTAAAGGAAACAGAAACCTCAGGAAAAGCTTTACAAGGAGTGGCTTTTGGAACGAGCATTGAGGGAGGGGGATCAAGGGGAAGGGAGTGTCAATATATTCCAAGCAGAAGAAGTATACAGGATGGGCCTTATTCATGGAAGAAGGTTTCTGTATGAAGAAGAGCAGAATATGTGCAGAGCTGGTGCAGGAGAAAAGCCTGTAAAAGAAGATAGGAACTATATAAGAGAATGTCAGAGGGAATTAGGAACTATATAAGAGAATGTCAGAGGGAATTTTTCTCATTTGATTGACAGTGGGAAGACTGAAGATTTTTGAATGAGGTGCAGGTGGCAGTGTCTAGAATTCATGGTTTGGGTGCTGATTTCCGGTTTGTAGTCTGAACTGATAGATAAGGAAGTGCTAGACAAGTGAACAAGAATTTGAGAATCGGTAACTTAGCGATTTCATCAGGAGTCTATCAGGTGATGGGGAAAGAAGAATGAACTCTCAAGTTGCTGAACATGAGTGCCAAAATTAGGTCTTCTCTCTTTTTCCCCCCCTTTGGTGAACAGGAAGGAGAATTTAGTGTGGAGGAAGTGGATGACACTGACTTGTTATAGAAGGCTAATAAAAGAGGAACGTGGAGGGCTAGGCAAAATTTTGGTTTTAAATAGCAGAGATTCTCAGCCTCATCTTTCTATTTCATAGAGTAGGTTCAGGGTGGAATTATTTGGACTATTTACTCGAAACGAACATGGCAGACAACTCTCAACCCTGTTGACAATCACTGTACTGAGAGAGGTTATTGAATTGTGGAGGCAGTAAAAAATGTTAAAATCCAAATATGTAATCTAAAGAGCAAAAGGAATTAACAAGACCCAAATGGCCAAGACCAAACTCTTCGTAGAATCTAAGAGGAGTTAAAGAGGAAGATATTACCAAGTTATCTCTGTCTCTCAGTGTCATTTGTGAAACCAGAGGTTGGGCTAAAATTTCTAAGTCTGTTCCAATTCTGATACTTTGGGACTATAGAGTTATATGGTCCCAGTCATTCCACCTGTGCTCTGACTTGCAACTCTAAAATGAGTAGTTTTTATAGTCCAGGTTGAAGAAGAACATGTCCTCAATCATTTAAGAAATGTGGAAAAACTAACGACTTCAGTGAAATGTCTTTAGGAAGAGGGGATGGGGAAGTCATTGGTGATCCTAGTAAGCAGTGTTGGAAATAGCAAAGTTTAAGTGAGAAAGGTTAATACTGTAAGTTGTATGACAACCGGGCAGTGGTTAAAAACTTGAACAAGGTGTTTAAGAGTCATTAAGAACTGGGGTGTGAGGTAAGGGTAATTGAAGAAATCAGAGGGGTCCACAAAGCCCTTCTGGGACCTGGGAACGAATATCATGTACAAAGTTCATGACCTTGGAGTAAGAGCAGGACACTTAGAGAATGTACAAGATAACCTCCGTCTCAGGCAACCCCATGTTATCCTTCTGTGTTAATGGTCTTTTTATTAGACTATTTTCAGTAGGTTGCTTTAGTATAATGTATAAACGGTTTTAGGAGTTAAGGTCTATGTTGTGATTTTTTTTTTTAAGTAAGAATCATTTAAAATATATAGAAACTGAGATTTGTCTCTGGTGTGTAAAAGCCCTGTAATATTAATTCCATAATGTGCTTGAATTTAGTTGTGTTCTAAATTAATCTCTTAATGAAAATATGTCTAGTGCTAGTTGTTATTTTGAAGTAAGACCAATATGTTGCTTTTGATAGTTAATGAGTCTTAATGTAATCTTTTTGACATGATGGAAAAATTATGGGCTCTGGAATCAAGACTGACTGTTTTGGGGTCATTGCTCCATAATCTTATAATTTTGTGACTGCAGGCAAGTTTCTCTCAGCCTCTGTTTCTTTATCTATAAACTGGTGATGATGGTTCTTGCCTTGATAGGCTTGTAGTTAAAATAATAGGTAATAACTGACATTTAATGGGCATTTACTATTATATACTAAGTACTGTTTTAAGCACTTGATACACTCACTGTGTTCCCATTAGTTAGGTTGATAGTATTATTTATGTTTTAAAGTTGAGAAAACGGGGGCATAAGCAAGTTAAGTAACTTGGTCAGTATCACAGAACTAGTGAGTGGTAGAGCAAGGATTTGAACCCAGGTGGTGTGACTCCAGATGAAAGTATATGAAACACATTTGGCCCTAAATAACATAGTAGCTGACTAAAGATCACAGTGTTTTGAGGAATTTATACAGTCTAATAAATGTTTGTAAGTTAGGAGGGAGGGAGGATAGATCTGTGGTGGACCAAACTCAGTCTGTAATTTTGAAGCCCTCCTTATATGCAGGATATTGAAGTAAAATTTTAAAACTTGACTTTTGGATTTTTGGCATTAAGAGTGTAAGCTCCTTGAAGCTAACAGTTGTTTCTGAAGAGTGAAATGGAATGGACATACATATTGTACATACAGGCATAGAAGTATAAGGTTTGATCAGTGGTTCTCAGCCAGGGTGAATTTACCCGCCAGGGGACATTTGGCAAGTTCTGGAGATAGTTTTTGGTTGTCAAGGCTGGGGTGAGAGTGGGGAGATGCTATTGATATACTGTGAGTAGAAACCTAAATGCTGCTAAGCATCACATAAGGCATAGGAAAATCCCCCACCACAAAGAATTACCCAGCCCAAATGTCAGTAATGACTGAGGTTGAGAAACTCTGGGTTAGGTTATAAATAAAACAAGCAGTATTAAGTTGTATTGAATTGTATCACACCTGTCCTTTAGATTCTTATTAATATATTGGCATCTTGTCAGAACCCTTTGTCTAGACTTCAGCTATTTTTTTTTCTTTG